CATGTGGATATTTTTAGGCTACTTATGAAGACATTGATTACCTTGAAAAGGCATTTGAAGGACTCCTTTTGCGAAACCGGAATCAGGGTACAGCATCCTTGTGTGAAACACATGGGGGGGTCGTACTTTTGCTCTGGGGAGGGGGGTCGTATTTGGGGTAAGACAAATTTGTGGAGGGGGGTCGTGCCTGGACCCCATTCGAAGGGGGGGGGTCGTACTCACACCGACATTTCGCACATCCCCATGCTGTACCCTGACCGGAATTACCGTTGCAGAGTTGAGGACTTCTGCCTAAGCATAATGCGGGAGAGAGCTCCTGAGTGGGTGACTTAATACTAATAACAGCGATTTTGTTCGGCTGACGCTAATCCCAGTTTTGCGTAAGGGGTGCTTTAGGTGTCCTCTCCAAGGAGATGAACGTTCATATAGAAGAAAGGATAAGGCATTGATTGTCCCCTTTCTGGGATTCGAGACGCATTCTACCTCTGTTCGGAAACGCATGTACTGACTCATCGATAGTAATGCGGCCTATACGATGAATTGCGGAGTCTAACCGGTAAACTAGCCAGTGTTTTTATTCTCTCAGGCAAATCTGATAACTTTACCTTAGTCTTTCAAATCTGATGCCTTTATCTCTCCCAAAGAATAAAAGGCTTGGTTGAGCTGGGCGGTAACCGATCCGGAATCCCCTGCTGGGACCACCTGTGTTTCAGGCGATTCACTTCCCCTACCCCGCCCCCGCCTTCTTAGCGCCCATATATGTAAGTTTCTATCACATTTTACTTTCAAGCATTCACTTTTCCTTTTACCTTATCAAGCGTAGCCGACGGGCGGTGGCCGTTCCAGGGTAGGTATGTTGCCACTGCATGATAGACCCTCCTAGGATACCTTTCCGGAAAGAGGACGCCAGCCACCGCTCTGCCAGGAGCGCGGAATTCCGCGTCCTGCCAGGTTGTAGCAAGCACAAGCGTTTCTAGGATTGCCCTGTGAGATGGAAGAAGTCTGTGATGAAAAACGAATATTTTAGTGCTAGTGCTTCATTTTTCTCACCGTTCAAAATCAGTAAAGTTCCGCGACGTTCCAACGATCTGAGAAGATTCAGTCTCGCTGATTAAGTGTGATAAGCCGCTTCTTGCCGCCGCCTCACGTCTGCTTTTCGAATGACTTGATGGCACGGTCCGCGGTCAGGTATAGAAGTTGAAAATATGGCGTTGAGAAGGTAGTGTGGTCCGCGACGAACAACCGTTTCGCGGCAAAAAACGTGGAGGAGCGCTATAGCGCAATATAGGTTCAGTGACGCCTCCTTTTTCCAGTGACTCTGCCTCCAGACTCCGCCTTTCTAAAATTCGCAGCAGGACTGAAAAGCATGAAAACCGCCACTTGTGCGGTCGTAGGGTTCTTATCGGGAAGCAGCTGTGCGGATGAGGGCGTAGTGTTGGAAATGGAGTTAATTGGGCACGTACAAACTGGGATCGAAATGGGGTTCTATCTAGGGCAGTTGGCATGTTTTTTTCTGCTTTTTTCTTCACTATCGAGTTACTCAGCACCTTGTCGTCTATATGCAAACCCCTAATCCACTATCTGTGATGGCGAATGATCGCGGGCTTTGCCTTTAATAAACTCCAATGTGTGCAAGGAAAGACGTGAAAAGGTTTAATTCAGGATGTTGTGACCGCAGCAGATCGTGTTGGTCACACGCACTAAATTGCCGATGACACCGTCATCGAATGGACCGCTATGAAATCGTAAGACCAGCTGGACAAGGAGCATACGGTATCGTACTGCGGGCCAGGATCAAGGAGGTACGTCGCCAGTCATTGTAAATGGCATTTCGAACGCAGAAATGTTTAAAATGACTAGTACTGACTTAGACGAAGAATTGTATGAAGACTGACCGTGAATGTGACTTTCTGCCAAGGTCCGGTGGGAATCCCTCAATTCAGGGGCATATCAATCATTATTTCTTCCAAATTTTGAACTATATCTGATATTTCAACTCAAAAGCAGTGCCACACGCATGGCAAATGGGCCTTTCCAGTTGGTTTTACAGACCTCTTTCTGGTTGGGCTTTCTTATCGAGAGTCGATCACAGATCGAATCAAGGCGTGGCTCATTTCAACACGGCACGTTTGCACCCCACCGCACCCGCACCGACACATTGCGACGATATCACCACAAATGCTACCTTCCCTCTAAATTGTTCCCTTCGGGGGATCTACTTCCACAACATACTTTTCATCTTACTGAATACTCCCGAAATCCTGCAGTCAGAGGGTGTGAAGGTGCGCTCCTCCGACTGAGTAGTTTTGCAACGCCACCAGCTAGGAGTAACACAGGTTGGCTGGAAATGTTGGTTTTGAGTATCAGCCCGTTTTCCACTAGCTACGGAAACTGGCGGGAGACCAGTATTGGTGGAAAACTGGCTAGTGCCGCGGCAAACCCATCCCCTTGACACGCCCAACTTCCGTAGCGAGCAATGCTTCACTATGTATAACACAGAAAACGCGAAATTTGAAGTCAAGTAAAGTTTTCTGGGAACTGCCGAGCTTCCATTATATTTCAGCAGTCCTTATCCTTATGATACAGTACATAAGGATGGCTCTGAACAAAGGCGCAATGGTCACAAGCTGCCGCCCATTCGTTCGCCCTGTCCAATCTCCCAGAATGCATCGTGAAGCGCCTAAGCCTCCCCTTTTCCTATCGGAAATCATAACTCCAGTCGAAAAATAACCTACTTCCAGAGCGGGAAAACGGTCGCCATAAAGAAGATGACGGTTACATCGCGGAATCGCTTGCAAATATTACGCGAGCTTTGTGCGTTGAGAAACCTACACCATCCGAAGGTAAGTTGAGTTTAATGGTTTCTCGGGAATAAATGACTGAAATTGCTGAGAAAGTCTTCGACATCTTTTTTTTGCGGTTTGTGTATCAGAAGCGTCTTCTCAGGAAGGAATCCCTTTCCCTTTGGATGAACGTTCCTGAGGAGTATAGTGCGGGTAGCTTGCGCCATCCCTTAGACTTTCACTCAGATTCATTTGGAGCATGCCTCGTGATTTCCACCGGGCTAGCCGTTCACGGATTTAGTAACTTTACTCCTTTACCCTCTTACCAATACCTCAGAGATGTAGAAGGTCTGGCTGGCCTGAGCGATCGGATTCATGATTTGATCCGAGCATGTCTGTGACATTCATGCGTCACTCCCGGCTTCCCTATCTGTTTCTATTGCCTTTCCCTCCCCCCCCCCTTCAAATACTGATTTCTTACTGAAGATTCAATCGAATGTAGAGTTGTTCCAGATTCTGAAGTTGGTTGGATGTCTTCTGCTCTCGCGACTCGCTATCACTGGTCACTGAATTCGTGCCTTATCACCTGAACGACATCATCACCGACCCCAGACGTCCTCAAGATGAGGGATTTCTGAGGTTCCTATTCAAATAAGGAAAACTTCGCGACCATATTTCTATTAGATAAATCCTCATCGTTTCAAATAAATCCAGACAGATTATAAGATATAAGATTATATTGTAAGATTATTTGTTAGGTTACTTCAAAAGCATTGTTTTTTCAGGCACTTCTTCATACAGATCATCCAAGGAGTGAAGCATATGCACTCAGTTGGTATAATGCATCGGGTGTGTGTAACCTTCTTTCTATGGTTATTTTACTCTATAGGAAATTGGAATGAATTTTCCAAAATGAAGTTGAAGGGAACTTCAAGTGAAGGAAGGGAAGTTAGAGTTTTGTATGCTGCGATTACTGGGATGTGCCAGGGGAAAGGGATTGTCGAAGCGCCCGCTTATTCGCCACCAATTGTTGAACACAGGCTGGTGACATCAACTGGTGGAAAAAGGCTACGCCGCACAAACTCAGCCTCCCCTGTCACGCCTCAGCATTCACAGCAAAAAAAGGTTGTGCCACGTTGGATGAATCATTTGGATCCTAGCGATTTAACAACGAGCGCTTCCCTCATGGCCTCCCTTTTGTCATTTTTGCCTCTTTTCTCCTTGTCATAGAATAGCTCATCTGATGAAAAGAGGTTACTGATTCATGTATCCGAGATGCAATATTTGAACGGAAGGATCACCAAAACACGCAGAAGCCATGAGAAACTAATCTCGTACACGGATCTATAGTGTCATCCTCTTGAGACACTTTGTTGGACATGTTCCTCACCCACACTTTTCAATCATAGACAGAATCTTCCACTTTTTCGAACTGTTCATTACGAAAAGCAGCTTAGCAGTAGATTTAGCAGTCAGCTTCAAAGCTGAAACCCTCAGGTTGATATTGAGCCATGGTACAATTGCCATCGCATCTTGATAAACTCATAGATGGAAGGTAGCCACATCAGTCATCAGCCACTCTGCCACTTTTTCTGAGATGGGTTTCTGTTTGTCGCGGTCTACTCTATTCTCGAAGTCCAGCTTCACATAAAGTCCAAGTGTGACATCCTCTCTTTTCAGACAAGAAGCTAACAAGGTAGCGCACATATATAGCACGCTAGGAGCGAAAAATTCACTGCTATTATCCAGAATCTCCCCATACTTTCCTTCTACAGAAAAACCTTCATAAATTCTCTTATGATAACAAACCCTACAATGACGTTGAAGCTTTTGGTACAAGCAACATATAGGTGATATTGTCGTAAGCAGTCGCTGCCAGGGTACAGCATCGTTGTGTGAAACACGTATGGGATGGGGGGGTCGTACTTTTCGGCTAGGGAAGCGGGGGTTGTACTTGCTGGGAGAGGGGGAGGCCGAACGTGGCTTCGAGAGAAATTTGGAACATTCCCGCTTTACCCCCCTCCCTTCCCCCGACCGACGGAAAATTTTCAGGTGATGGGTGGAAAATGTGGATACATTGGTAGGTAGTTGGGGAAAGGGGGGGTCGTACCGAGACCCTCATTTAGGTGGGGGGTCGTACTGACACCCTCTCTCGGAGGGGGGGTCGTACCTACACCACCATTTCACACATCACGATGCTGT